AGGACAGCGCCCTCCCCCTCACCTGGGGCCTAACTTCCCTGGCACACTGGCTAGTACCCGCCCCAGGGGGTCTGCTGGAGAGGGTCTGGCAGGACACTTCCCAGGCCCACCCCCAGCCTGGTCTCCGCATTCCCAGGGGACCCCTGGCCCACCTGTTTTGAAAGATCAGCTCCTCCCCTCCTCGCTTGCTCCCCTTCCCTTCGGAGGGCCATGTCAGAGCTGAGACGAGGGGCCGAGGGCGGGGCCTACAAGAACCCTGGGCCTTGGCAGGGCCCTTCCCCCACCGCCCGCCCCTGCCCTCCGCCTCCTGCACATTCTTCCCTGGCTGAGGTCAGCCCCTCTGGGATGCGGCCCCCCCAACTGGCCACATCACAGCTCTGTGCTCACTCCTGTTTTCTTCATTGCCCAGCAGGGTGGGGAGGACAGGGGCGGGGCGGGCCTTCTCTGCAGAGCCTGTGGGGGGTGTGCCAGGAATGCTGCACGAGTGGACACTGACAGCGGAACATAAATACTGCATTCCCTTCTGGGCAGGGGGCAGCCTCCCAGGGGTGCCGGCTGGGGAGTTCTGGACGCTCTAGCAGGGCTGGGTGGGCTGGGAGGTGGCCCGGAATCCACTTCCTTGGCAGTTCCCAGAGGCAGGTTGAATGCAGACCCTGTGCTCACCACCCTGGCCCCAGCTAGGCTGCACCCTTCACTCTCAGTCCCGCCTGCAGCTGGACGCCCGGGCCAGGCAGGGCAGGTGTGTGGCAGGGCTGCCCAGGTAGTGCCAGTACTCTCACTGACACCTTGGCTCTGGGCATCCTCGTGGCAGGGCTGCCCAGGTAGCACTCTCACTGACACCTTGGCTCTGGGCATCCTGGGCATCCCAGGCCTGTGAGGGTCTCAAAGGAAATCCCTTGCTGCCATCTCTTCCATCCCAACCACTGGCCCGCTTGTCATGCTCAGCTTGTCGCTCCCGCCAGGTTCCCCACTTCAGCACATGACTTCCTCTACCCTCTGACCCCTGTGCCCAGGGCTTCACCTGAACCCCCCTCCCTCCCCTAGGGACCCTCAGACTTCTCACAGATTCCCACCCACCCCTACCATTGGCCAAGCCTGCTCTCCTGAGAGCCCTCATTCCAGAGAAGTTGTCTTGCCTAAGACGCACAAAGCCCAGCCTTCTGCATAAAGCCCAGCCTTCTCCCTCTGCTGCTGCAAGGCTGACTGCTGCGCCTTCCCCCACCGCACACCCACTGTGTCCCTGTGGTCATTCTGCCTTTCCTCTCTCTGGGCCTCCCTCTGCAGCACGCTGCCCCCAACACCCGCTACAGGAAAGGGAGCTACCTCCCCTCCTCTGTGAAGCCGTGGATACCTGCAGTGCCAGGTTCAAGCCTCCTGGCAGGGCTCCAGGTTCCCCCCTGCGAGGAGCAGCAGAAGCTGGAATAGTTGGGCCAGCAGGTGGCATCATGGTTAAGGCGGCTGGATCCCACAAGGCCCAGTGCACGGTTGGAGTCCAGGACCCAGTGGCTAGGAAAACATGCCAGGTGCATGTGTGTGTGCCCCAAATCCCGAGAACAGAGGAGGGATTGTGGTGTGCCATCCGCCCTGAAGGTTCTTTCTCATTTTCTCTCTCTCTCTTCCTCTCTAGTGAGTACACATAAAAACAAAAACAGAAACAAAAACAAAAAGCTATCACTGGGGACCTTGGGGACCCCAGGACCCAGCAGAAGACAGGCACAGGCAGAAGGGAGATAGCAAGCCTGCAGGAAGCCCTTCCACTTTCCTGGGTCTGCCAAGTCGAGGGACTGAGGGAGAAAGGGCGCCTCCGGCCCCGCCCTGATTGCCTACCCCATGAGGTCAGAAAGCAGAGTCGCGGAGGGCTGTCTTCCCAGCAAGGCAAGAAAGCTAGGCAGTGAGGAGGAAGGTGCCCATGGCCTAGACCTCCACCCGCCCTGGCCACTGACGCCCAGCACTGCCGAGTGGCCCGCAGGCATGGGCTGTCTGAGGCCGCCGTGGTGGAACTGGGGCTACCTTCCCTTCTGGGAGTCCAGGGGGTCTGCGGGCTGCAGTGTCCCGTGGCAGAGATGGCCTCTAGGCTTTCTTTTAGGGCAGCAGAGACAGATTGGAGTCAAATATTTGGGGTAGACCCAGAACACAGTCAAGAGAAGCTTCCGTTTTGTCTTCCTCTCCCTGACTCCCAGGGCCATCGGGACCTGGCAGGTCGCACCTCTGGGTCAGGGGTTGTACTCGCCAGACTTGGAGGCTACCTCAGTATTCCGTGTATGTGTGTGTAGGGGGGCGGTTCTGAGGGATTCAGGGAGGGGATGCTCTCCTGACATCAGGAGGAACCACGGGGTTGCCCTGGAACATGTGAGAGGTTCCTCCGGCCTAGGTAGCCCTGCAGCCTGAGGCTCCAGCTCTAATCTGGGGAGGGCCCCTTCCCCATTCTGCACAGGGCATCTGGGCCTCCACCCACCTGCTGGGTGTGTCTGGGTCTGGCTAGCACCCAGGCTCTTTTCCGCAGGGTCTCCCCTCACTCTCCTCTTCCAGCCTTAGAGTGATTGTCTCTGTCCCCAGCTGTCCTTCCACCTCTCAAATGGGTTAACACTACCAAGGCTGCCACTGCCTTCGGTAGCCTGAGCAGCTACTTGGAGTGTGGGGGGGGCTGAGAGGTGGAGCAGCCTGGTGGTTCCCCACAGGTCCCACAAAGGCTCTTCTCCGCAGGGTCTCCCCTCACTCTCCTCTTCCAGCCTTAGAGTGATTGTCTCTGTCCCCAGCTGTCCTTCCACCTCTCAAATGGGTTAACACTACCAAGGCTGCCACTGCCTTCGGTAGCCTGAGCAGCTACTTGGAGTGTGGGGGGGGCTGAGAGGTGGAGCAGCCTGGTGGTTCCCCACAGGTCCCACAAAGCCTGGGTCCCTACCTGGCTCTGTACCTCCTGCCAGAAGTCCAGGGCCTCCTACCTGGGACAGGGTTCCCAAGGGCTGAGGATGGCTGAGGTCTAGCCCAGGGCAGCTCCCAGCAATGGGGGAAGCCCAGGAACAGACTTCATGGAGTCCCTCCAGCTGGGGTGCAGGACACCTGGCCAGCCCCTCCTAGGCCGCTGCCCCCCATGGCTGGGAATTTCCCAACCACCAAAGACAAGGCGGAATTGAGGCCGCCCCCGCCTGGGCTGGGACAATGGAGCCTTATGCCCTGGAAATCGGAGCAGGGGTAGGAGGCCAGGGGCAGGTGGGGGCCTCGCTGTCTGCACCCAGGAAAGCCCTTCTTGCCAGGGCCCCACCCAGCCTCATTGCCAAGCCGGCTACAGGGAGATCCTGGCCAGAGTCCTCCACGGCCCACCCGGAGAGGGGGAACTGGGTGCGTCAGGCAGACGGTGCCAGCCCCTCAATGGTCCCTCTGTGCTGGGCTCCTCCTCGGGACAGAGGAAGGAGCCATCTCCGGTGCCCGCTTCCTGCAGGGCGGGCATCAGAGCACGGGTGCTCCCGCTCCCGCCGGCACGCACATCTGGGGCACAGCAGGGGCCAGGCCTGAGCCTGGAGGTAGGGCAGGGATCCTGTTCTTGCCGGTCCTGGAGCCAGAGGTAGCAGGAAAGGCCCGAGGCCCCGGGGCGGGGACCGGGCCTGGGGGGCGTCGATCTCCTTCCGACCCGCGGCAGCAGCCCCCCCTCTCCTGCCACTCATCTCCTGCCAGCTTGGGGCCCCCCCCCGAGGCTGCCGGGCACTGGCAGGTGTGCGGAGGCGGGGTCCCGCGTCCCGCGTCCGCGGCCCAACCCCTCCCTCCCCGCCTCCGCGGCGCCCGGGCTGCGGCGCTCCCGGGCGGCCGAAGGCGGGAGCGCCGAGCTCGGCCTCGGCCCAGCGAGACCGGCCTTCCTGGAACCCTCCAGAAGCCTCAGTCCGCCGTTGCCCCTGGTGTCCATGGGGGCGAGTCCAGGCGCCACCCTAGATACCCAGGCCCTCCACCAGACGTCCGCCCGGGAACACCGCTAGCCTCGCGGGACCCTCCACATTCAGAGCCCTAGCCCCGCTGGAGTGGTGCACGGCTACCTTCACACGGGGGTAGGGGGGACAGGGAGGGGGGAGCCCAGGCTGGGGGCAGCAGCCAGCCTGGCTGTGTGACTGCCACTGCTCACACTGTCCCCGCCTTTGTGCAGGGAGGTCAGAAGTCACTTCTGCACTGGAGATCGCTGGACTCCTTCCTGCGCCCCAGTGCAAATCCCTAGGACAGCCCCTCCCCAGCCCCAAGGCTGCAGAGTGCCGGATGGAGGGGGAGACACTAGAGCCCCATGACCCCAGCACAACTTAGCCTGGATTTCTCTAGAGAAAAAAAAAGCCCAGCAGGTTTTTTTTCTTTCTACATTTTATTATTTCAAACCGGGTGAACAATTCCATAAAACATGTGAAAAAAGCAAGGAAGTGTTCAACGCTGAAGGACCCGGGCCTGGGGCGAGGGCACGAGGGGCGAGGCCCCTCAGCAGGCAGCGCGGTTCCTAGGTTAGAGCTAGGGGGGCTACATTTAGGTTAATGGAGCCTGGGCCCAGGGCCGCCAGGGCAGGGCCCTCGGTGACGTTGGCAGTTGTCTGGGACAGCCCTTGGACCCCGATTCTGTGGAGGGCAGGGCAGGGGTGCCGCTCACACTCGGGGCGGCCAGCAGAGGGGTGGGTGTAAACACACAGACACACTCAAGGCACGGAATCACCGCATGGGGGCTGGCTGGCGGGGTGCTGGTCAGGATCGAACAGTTTTAAATAGGTTTTCTCTAAAACGTTTTCTAGGTTTGCAGTTTTCGTCGTTGTGGTTAATTTTTTTTTTCCTTTACTTTCATTTTTTTAAAAAGCTACACGAACGAGCAGTGGAGTGTGGTCTCCAGGAATGGTGGCGTTTCACGCTTCTTGTGCTTTTTCCTTTGGGGCCTCCGAGCGGCGGGGGTGGGCTGGGCAGGAGGCTCCCTGTAAACATCTGGACTTGGGCCGGGGCGGGTGGGTGTGGGGCGAAGCCAGGGGTCCAGGCTGGAGACGGGCGGCCCTCCGGACGCAGGCCTGGGGAGAGCAACAGTGCTCCCCTCGCCCATCACGGAACGAGACAATGGGCTGGAAACCAGAACGGACGCCCAGGAAGGGGTGCCGCGGCCATTCCCAGCACACCTCGGCCAAGGTCAGGCTCCAGACAGGGAGGCCTGTGGCAACCCCTTTCCCAAGTCTGGAGCTGAGGACGGGGAGCTGAGAGCGGAGAGGAAAGAGGGGAGAAGCGGCTGGGGACAGGCGGGAGCGTGGTCTTCTTGCCCCCATCTTCCTCAGGGGCTGGGGAGCAGTCAGCGGTGGCCCTGGAGCTGGGGGACAATCAGGGTGTGGGTCGGAAGGCCCCAGTGTGTGCCTCTCTTCCCGCTCCCTAGACAATGCCCCTCTCCTTTTCTCCCACCCCGTTACCAGGGACACCATGGCCACCCAGGAGCAGTCCTGTTGCCAGGTTACAGGGGGAGGGAGGGAACAAGCAGTCATCCCCACCTCCAGCAGCCGCGGGGCCACCCCAAGCCGAGGGCCCCGGAAGGTCCAGGGCTCAGTGCAGAGCTGGGGAGACTGAGCAGCAGGTGGCTAGGCCAATGCCTGGCAGGTGGGGAGGTGTGGGTTTCTCCAAGGAATGCTCAGCAGCCGGCAGTTCTGTCCCTGGGTCAGGCCAGGCCCACCATGCTGACATCCCCCCACTGGGTCTGCTGGTCACCTACTGCCCTTCCCCCAGGTTCACTACCCCCTGTTGGCCCCTCTCCCCAGGCCCTACTCCTCGCCCCACTCTGGCTCACCATCCTGCCAGGCCCCGCTGACCCTCAGAAGAGGCCGCAGTCCTTCAGGTTGTTCTTGATGATGACGTCGGTGACAGCGTCAAACACGAACTGCACGTTCTTGGTGTCGGTGGCGCACGTGAAGTGCGTGTAGATCTCCTTGGTGTCTTTGCGCTTATTCAGGTCCTCGAATTTGCTCTGGATGTAGCTGGCTGCCTCGTCGTACTTGTTGGCCCCTGGGGGGGGGGTGGGCAAAATTCTGAGCGCGTGTGCAGGCAGGCTCTGTCCCACACGGGTGGCAAGACAAGCGTGATGTGGATGCATGCACATGCACAGGATGACAAGGTGTGAGTGCACGTGCACACCTGAGTGTGTGAATGCGGATGCCCATGTGCCCACGTTCCTGGGTACACGCCCAGGGGTGGCAAGCAGTTCCCCCCCTGCCCTGTGCATGTGGACACAAGTGCCAAAAGCCCAGGCAAGGCATCAGTGCGTTTACCCTTATGACCAGCAGGGGGCGCTGGTGGGCCGCCTGCCAGGCCCCCCTCCCCAGCCCCATCCCACCCAGTCCTCTCACCTGTGTACTCAGGGAAGCAGATGGTCAGCGGGCTCTGTGTGATCTTCTCCTCGAACAAGTCCTTCTTGTTGAGGAAGAGGATGATGGACGTGTCCGTGAACCACTTGTTGTTGCAGATGCTGTCGAACAGCTTCATGCTCTCGTGCATGCGGTTCTGGGGGCAGACGGCAGGTCAGAGGTCCCCTGCCCCGCCCCGCCCCGCGGCCACCTGGCCCCAGCCTGCCCTGCCTCTCACCATCTCCTCGTCCTCGGCCAGCACCAAGTCATAGGCGCTCAGGGCCACACAGAAGATGATGGCCGTGACGCCCTCGAAACAGTGGATCCACTTTTTCCGTTCGGACCGCTGACCACCCACATCGAACATCCTGCAGACACAGGTCACCTTAGCTCCAGGAAGGGAGGTCCAGAAGGCATGTCTGGACGGGCAGGATCAGGGGTCTGGCCAGCAGAGGCCATGAGGCTGGCCAGAGGCGGTGTGGCCCCTGACCGTGGAGTCCCGGGTGGTCAGGACACGCTTTCCCGGAACACAGCCTTGAGAAACCTCAGGGTGGGGCTGGGGGCGTCCTGGACCAGCCACCCTGGACAACTGCCCCAAGCTGGCAGGTCCTGCCCCGCATGCCCGCTCACTTGAAGTGCAGGTCCTTGAAGGTGAAGTGCGTCTCCACGATGCCCGTGGTCTTTACGCGGGTCCGCAGCACATCCTGCTGCGTGGGGATGTAGTCGCTCTGCGCGATGCGCTCCAGGTCGTTCAGGTAGCTGGGGACAGGAGGGGAAGGTCGGTGGAAGCCAGGCCCCACTTCTCAGACAGAGCCCTCACCGCCTAACCCTGCCTGCGGTACGTCAACTGTTCAGACGAGAATCCCGGACTCGGGGTCCTTGGTCTCCCACGCATGGGATTGGACTGGGAGGAGGCCCAGCTCTGTGGCCCCTGCAGCCAGGGTCAGAGCCAGGCTTCCTTCAGCAATGATCCAGGGTGCTGGGGCTACAGGCAAAGGGCGAGGAGGGGCAGGGCAGCTCTTCAGTAAGGACCCAGGGTGCTAATGGGTGCAAACACAGTCCCTGGACGGGCGGCTGGACAGGTTAGGACCTGCCAGGCCCAGTGGGCTCTTTGCCTGGCACCCAGTAAAATTTGGGCTCCTCGGGGAAGACACAGACACCTGCTTGGCGAGGGTCCCAGGGGCTCATTAGCAGCTCCCTAATTAGTGTCAGCACCCCCTTGAAGGCCCTGAGGCCCACGCCTGCCTGCCTTGGATCCTTGCAGTGCCCTGGAGGCTGGGTCCAGGCCCTTGCGGGCCACTCTGAGTGACGTCCCGGGGCAGGGCTGCTGGGGCTGGGCCTTGGCTCCCACCAGCAGCCGGGCCAAACGGGGCCAGAGGGAAATGATCTCAGAGACACAGGGACAGAACAGAAAAACAGGAAGGGCCATGGGGGACCGTGACGCACGTGCTGTGACCTGCACACCACGCCCCGCCCCTACTGACAGAGCCCAGCCTCAGGCCTTGCGGTGGGCTCCACACTAGCCTCTCCCATTGCCCCAGCAGGTGGCTTCAGCCCAGGGACCCTGTGTCCCACTGCGGTCCTGTTCCCATCCGCACCCCAACCTGGGGGATCTCGTCAAGGCAGAAACCCTCCCAGGAGAGCAGGCAGGGCCGAGTTCACTCCCAAATACCCACTCCCCAGACAGCACTGGCCCACAGTGGGTGCTCCCTGATGATGAAAGAAGTGGCCTTCAGCTATCATGGGCAGCGAGGGGCGTGGGGCAGAGGCCTTGCCCTCCCTGCCCGTGGCCCATAGGCTGTGCTGGAGGCTAGGCCTATGATCTCAGAGGAGCAGCACGGAGGCCTGGGGGCCCCCACTTTGGCCGTGAGTCCACAGCTCCTATTAGGCGGACACACAGGGCCAGGCGGGGAGGGCAGGGGAGGCCGTCTGCATGACTGGGCAGGGTCCAGGAGTGCCGCTGGACAAGACCGTCCCCTCCTCCCGTGTACAGCCTCTCTGGGCGAGCTTGGGGTTGGACAGGCAGCAGGAGCCAGACGGTGTTCCAGACAGCCCCAGGTGGGGACGGGGGCCTGTCTGGGGACACTGTGAAGCCTGCAGCCATCGTCACTGGCCACTACCCTGTCCTGCCCCGTGGGCTCATCTGCACCAGCGCTGGCAGGTGAGTCAGGCCCAAAGGTCCAGGTCTGTCACACCCCTGGGATTCCGGGGACCCCCTGTGATTTCTAGCGGAGTCCTGGACGTGGCCGAAGTCAGGGCTCCAAGCTGCACATGTGCCTGCGACCTCCCAGACAGCCTCGTCCCCTGTGGCCCCGCCTCCAGCCAGCCTGACCATCCTCGGGCCTCGAGTACAGCACCCCAAGGGTCCTGTCCCTGCCATGCCCCGGCCCGAACCCCCTTTCTCATTCCTCCCCTGGCTGATGTCCATTCAGAGCTTGGCAAAGGCAGTCCCTCCACTAGGCCTCCCACCATGACACTGACCCGCTGAGGTCTCTGCTGCTTGGGGGCTTGTCTGCTCCACTCTCTCTGTGCCCCTGGCCCCAGCCCCTCACACAGAGCAGCTGACGGAAGTTACTATTATTTTAGTTTTTGCTATAGGGTGCCTGCACTTGCTAGAGAGAGCGGGGCAGGGGGGGGGGCAGTAGTGAGAAATTGCCTCGGGGTTGGGGGGTGATGGCCATGCCGCAATCCCTTTTCCATTCTCCCCTCAGGATTTTTGGGAACGCAGGTGCTCGGCATTTTTCTTTCTTTTTCTTTTCTTGGAGAGGTTTTTGCTATAGGGCACCCGCGCTTGCCAGAAAGACAGAGAGATAAAAAGTGAGAAATCACCCCCCAGGGGGGATGGCCACACCGCGATCCCTTCTCCTCCATTCTCCTCTCGGGATCTTGGGCACGCACGTACACGTGCCCAGCTTGAGTTTAAGCCACCAGGTCCGGGACTTGAACTGTGGTCGACTACATGGGAGTCCAGCGACATAGCCATTATGCTAACTGCTGGTCCCTGTGCTTGACATTTTTCAAGGTGGTGTGTCTGAGATTTGAACACATGTGAGACTTGGCCATGTGGGATCCAGCCACCTTAACCTTTTTTTTTTTAAAATAATTATTTTATTTAACTCTCTCTATCTACCTATCTGGTATCTACCTATCTACCTACCTACCTATCTATCTATGCATTTAAATTTGACCAGAAAGGAACAAAGTGAGAAAGCAAGCCGCCAGGTCCGGGACTTGAGCCATGGTCAGTCATGTAGGAGTCCAGCAGTCTTAACCACTATGCCACTTGCTGGCTCCTAGCCACCTTACCCTTCACACCACTTGCTGGCCCCATTTTTTTTTTTACAATGATTTAGACAGGTAAGACTCAACTAGCTGGGACCAGCAGGTGGCATGGTAGTTAAGGCACTGGACGCTCCTGCATGCCCGACCTGGTTTAAGTCCTAGACCTGGCAGCTTGCTTTCTCACTTTCTCTCTCTCTGGCTGACCAAACTGGAAAATAATAATAAAAAAAGTTAAATAAAAGAATTAAAAAAAAAAAAAGAAAAAAGACTCAACTAGCTGGCCCAGCCAGTGGCCTGGTGGTTAAGGGAGCTGGATCTTACACGGCTGACTGTAGTTCGAAAACCCCAGCAGTTTGAAAAACATGCCAGGCACATATACGTGTGTGCCGAAAGGAGGAGAAACAGAGTAGAAGGGAGTGTGGCATGAACAGACCCCACTAGGCGATGCTTTCTTTCTCTTGTCTTTCTGGCTAGCACGCATGCCCTCTGACAAAAAAAATAACTAAATAGGGGGACCAGCAGGTGGCATGGTGGTTAAGGCACTGGACACACCTACAGGGCTGACCATAGTCTGAGCCCTGGACCTGGTAGCTTGCTTTCTCACTTTCCCTCTCTCTCTCTGGTCAAATGAATATAAATGAATAGATAAATAAAATTACTTTTAAAAAAATTAAAAAATAAACAGGGATAAGCAGACAGCATAATGGTTACATCATTGGACTTCCACGTAGTTGACCACGGTTCAAGTCTCAGACCGAGGCGGCTTAAAACACACTGGGTGTGTGTGCGTGCGTGCCCAAAATCTTAAGAGGAGAATGAAGTAGGAGGGATTGCGACGTGGCCCTCCCGCCTGGGGGGTGACTTCTCACTTTCTGGCTCTCTTGTTTCTCTGGTGAGCATATGCGCCCTATAGCAAAAATCTCTCTTTAGGGGCAGGTGGTGTAGTGATTAAAGTGGTGGACTCCCATGTGGCTGACTGCAGTTGCAGTTTGAGCCCTGAACCTGGTGGTTTGCTTTCTTGCTCTTCCTTTCTCTCTCTGCTCAAATTAAAAAAAAAAGAAAGAAAGAAACAAAAAGAAAACAAAAGACGGTGGGGCCAGCAGGTGGCATGGCGGTTAAGGGCGCTGGACCGCCCGGCCACCGTCTGAATCCCAGACCTGGTGGCTTGCTTTCTCACTCCCCCCAACACCCTGCCCCTATCTGGTCAAATTAAAATGAATAAATAGGGAGCCAACAGGTGACATGGTGGTTAAGGGTGCTGGACTCCCACATAGATGACAACAGTTCGAGTCCTGGACATGGCAGCTTGCTGTCTCACTTTCCCTCTCTCGCTCTCTCTTAATATGTCCCTTTGTGGTCAAATTAAAATAAATAAGCAAATAAAGTTAAATATTCACTTTCTCTCTTTTTCTCTTGTTCTGTCCCTCTCTGGTCAAATTAAAATATGGGAACCAGCAGTTAGTGTAATGGCTATGTCGCTGGACTCCCACGTAGCCGACCGCGGTTCGCGTCCTGGACCCGGTGGCTTAAAACTCACGCCGGGCACGTGTGTGTGTGTGTGTGCCCAAGATCCCGAGAGGAGAATGGAGGAGAAGGGATTGCGGCGTGACCATCCCCCCTGGGGGGTGATTTCTCGCTTTCTGTCTCTCTGTCTCTCTCTGTCTGTCTGGCGAGCGCATGTGCCTTATAGCGAAAAACCTCTCAAAAAAAATTAATGAAATAAAAAAATTAATAAATAAAGTTAAATAAAATACTTATTTAAAAAATTAAGATGGTGGGACCAGCAGGTGGCGAGGTGGTTAAGACACTGGACACTCCCACATGGCTGACCACGGTTTGAGTCCCGGACCTGGTGACTTGCTTCCTTGCTTCCCCTCTTTCTCTCTCTCCCTCTCTCTCTCTTTCTCTCTCCCTCTCTCTCTCTTTCTCTCTCTCTCACCACACCACCTGCCGTCGAATTAAAACAAAAATAAGTGAACGAGTAAATAAAATTTAAAAAAATTAAGATGGCAACAAATAAAATTAAATAAAACAATTATTTTTAAAAAGAATTATTGATTTAATTTTATTTATTATTATTTATTTATTTTTAATTTTTAATTTGACCAGAAAGAGAGAAAGTGAGAAAGCAAGCCACCAGGTCCAGAACGCGAATCGTGGTTGGTTGACCATGTGGGAGTCCAGCACCTTAACCACACCACCTGCCGACCCCAGCAATTCTTTTTTTTAAATTATTCAATTTTATTCATTCATTCATTCGTTTTAATTTGACCAGAGAGAAAGAAAGCCACCAGGTCCAGGACTCGTACCATGGTCAGCCATGTGGAAGTGTCCAGCGCCTTAACCACCACACCACCTGCTAGTCTCTAAAACAATTTAAAAAAAAAAACAACAACCTGGGACCAGCAGTTGGAGTAACGGCGGTGTGGCTGGACTCCCATGTAGTCAACTATGGTTGGGGTCCTAGACTGGGTGGCTTAAACTCACGCCAAGCTTATGTACATGCACGCCCAAGATGCTGAGAGGAGAATGGAGAAGAAGGGATTGCAGCGTGGCCATCCCCCCTGCGGGATGATTTCTCGCTTTCTGTCTTTATGGCGAGTGCACGCACCCTTTAGTGAAAACTTCTCAAAAAAAAAAAAAAAAATTGGAGCCAGCAGGTGGCATGGTGCCTAAGGGTGCTGGACTCCCACATGGCCAACTGCAGTTTGAGTACCAGACCTGGTGGCTTGCTTTCTCACTTCCCTCCCCCCTCAGTCTGCCCTCCTCTGGTCAAATCATAAATAAATAAATAAATATACAAATAAATAAAGTTAAATAAAATAATTATTAAAAAAAAACCTCTAAAAAAATGACAACTAAATAATGGGGCTGGCAGGTGGCATGGTGGTTAAGGCACTGGATCCCATATGGCTGACTCTGCAGTTTGAGTCCCAGACCCTGTGGCTTGAAAAACATGCCAGGCAGGACCAGCAGTTGGTGTAATGGCTATGTCGCTGGACTCCCATGTAGGTGACTGCAGTTCGAGTCCTGGACCTGGGGGT